GGCCTAGCTGGGGGCTGGCATAACACTGGGAGGGATTTTGGCTGGCCATAAGCTGGAGGGGAGAGGCAGAGCCAGAGAGGCAGGTCAAGAACTGCTGCTGTGCCATGGCCAAGTTTCTCCTCCTCCTGTTGGTCATAAAGATTCCCCCTCCCCAACCTCACCTGTCTGCAGGGACACAAGGCAATGCCAGAGAAGATGCCTGTAAGGGACAGGGGCAGAAGGGATGCACTAGAGAGGCTGTAGGCACTGCTGTCCCTGCCCTGGCAAACAGGCAGTGCTGCTGCAGTCCAGATGAGGACTGGAGTTTGTTTTGCAGGGGTTTGGTTTCCTCCCCAATCTGTGGTTGCTGATGTGCAGCCAATGAGCTGCCTCTTTGTTGCTCCTGGGAAACAGGGCCTCAACTCCCAACTGTGCTTACCCCCCTCCACAGGAGCTACAGAAGCAGGCAGAGATGATGGAGTTTGAGATTTCCCTAAAAGCACTGTCCGTGCTGCGGTTCATCACTGACCAGGTGGGCAGGTAGGTGCCCAGGCATGGCAGAGAATGGGCCCCGAGTGCTGTTTGAGGCTCCTGAGGATTCTCAGCCCAGCTCTGCTTCTGGACCCCTCCTGCAGCTGGCTGCAGCAGCAGTGGCACTGTCCTGGAGGGCAAACACAACAGCACTCCACCCTACTCTGTGGCACTCAGTGGGAAACGGAGCTGTTCTTACTGTCATTGTTTTTCTCCCGTCTCTCCCAGTTGCCTCAGGGAGAGCTTGTATCCTTTTGGTATTTGCTTGAGAGCACCATCTCCCCCTTTCTGTTAAACCTCCAGTTTGCCCCTGAGTGCACTGACACGGATGCTGAACACCCACAACCTGCCCTGCCTCCTGGTCGAGCTGGTGGAGCACTGCCCGTGGAGCTGCCATGAAGCAGGTATGGATTGTGCCCTGTGCAGCCTTGCTGGGACGTGCACCTACTGATAGCTCTTCTGCAGGAGCCCCCGCAGCCCCACACCTCTGCAGCCAGGTGCATCCCCCCCTTCCTCCTTGCATCCCTCTGAGAAGCAGTGCAGTGGGAAATGGCACAATCCACTGCAGCCCTATGAGGGGAAAGCATCTCAGCAGGAGCTCACACTATAGGCAAGGGAGGAAGAGATGCTGGGAAACACATGGCTCCATGCGTGCTGAGGAACCCAGCTGGATGTGGGAGCTTTCCTTCCTCTGGCCAGGAAATGCATCCCTTCTCTCTGCATGCATGCTCGGAGTGTCAGAGGGAGCTTTGATCCAAGGTCCTGAGGGAGGGACTGGAAAAAAAACAGAATGCAAAGGCATTTCCAGGCTGTGCAGATGCAGGGTTACATCCTCCTTCACTCCCCGGGGCAGCACATTAGCTTGTTCTGTAACTTCTGTTATAGTTGTGCTAATTTTGGCTTTCACCGGTAGAAGTACCTCAGAAGAGTAGGTTCTGGCTGTGCTGACGTTCCAAAACATGCCTCTGCAGCAGCTCTGCTGCTATGGTGTGGGTTCCCCCATCATCTACCAGTGTTCTTCAGTCTTGACAAAGTACAGAGGGTGACAGGGATCAGGGTTCCTGCCACAACCATATCACTCTAAGATGTGTTCTTAATGCTTTTTGTGCTCTCTAAAATACCATCTCTGCACCAAGAAAGCTGCTGTGCCACAGGGCAGGCAGAAGCAGAGGGGTTTGCCTGAGCCTGGGTGAGGAAGCAGATGAAAGGCAGCATCCAACCCCTGAGCCCTGTTTCCTGGGGCAGCTCTGTCTCTCCCTGGAGCCCTGTGTTCTTTTGTCCCTCAGGCAAGTTCAAGAAGTTTGAGAACGGCACGTGGTACGTGGTGCCCCCTGAAGACCAGATGAAGATGACTAAACTTGATGGGCAGGTGTGGCTTGCCCTCCTCAACCTCCTGCTCAGCCCGGAATGCCAGCACAAGTACCACTTCGATGGCTTCAACAAGAGCCAGCTCCTTAAGGTAGGCTTCCTAGAGGACAGTGGTGTGAGAGCAGCAGTGCAGTGCTTGGGACTCCCATCAGTTGCTCTGCCAGTGCCCCACAGTCCCTGCTCATGCTGTGCTGCTTGCCCTGTGCACGTGCAGAGCCCTCAAGCCTCATAACCCTGCTCTGGCTCCTTTGTCCTGACCTCTCTCTGTTTGCTCTTTCCCTGCATGGCTGCAGCTCCGTGCATTCCTGACAGATGTCCTCCTGGACCAGCTGCCCAACCTGGTGGAGATGCAGAGATTTCTGAGCCACCTGGCAGTGACAGAGCCAGCTCCCCCAAAAAAGGATCTTGTTCTGGAGCAGGCATGTGTGACTTCTTTCATTTCTCCTGCTGATCTCTTTTAAGCCTGGTCACTCCCTACCCCTTTTCCTTCAGCCAAGTCCTGCTCTAGAGAAGTTGTGCCTCAGAAGAGCAGCCAAGCACCCATTCCACTGTGACACCCTCATTGCTGGAAACTGTTTGCAAAGAGAGGGCAGATCACTGCCCCAGTTCAACTGCTGGCATGTCAGTGGGCAGAGGCAGGCAGTGTGCACACTGGAGACCTCATCCAGGCTGCTACCTTCTCTGCATCTCTGCCTTTGGGCTTGCGTGGCTCCTGCCTGTGCCAAGGACAGGCAGGGGGAGCCAGCTGGAGGCACTCACACGGACTCCACTCTCTACCCAGCAAGAGTGAACTCATTCCTTGTCACAAAGCCAAATGGAGAAAAGTTATTTTTCCATTTGACTTCTCTCAAAGCAGCCTCCTCCCCTTCCAGGCCTGGCTATTTTTGCTTGGCCGGGGTCATCAGTGCTGTTTGAAGCAGCATCCTCCTCTCCACGTGCTGCTCTTGGCTGGTGCTTTCCCTTTCACAGCAACAAGCCCTTCCCTTGGTGCTCATATTTGGGGAAGTGATGGGTGGAAAAATCTGCTCAGACAAATGGCTGCAGAGCACTGAGTTTGTGCTGCTGCCGCAGCCCTGGCTGACACAGCGTGAGGATGGTGGGCTCTGCTCTGCCTGGGAGCTGGGTTTTGCCTATTTCACCTAATGCTTGCTGCCTTGCTGGACAAGTGGCTCTGTTCCCTGTGTACCCACAATCACGTGCTACACTGCCTCTGCTCCCTGTGCCCCAGGCTAGCTGTTCTCCTGTCCCTGCCTGCTCTGGCTGCCACCTCCCACTCTGCCTCTCCCACCAGGTGCCTGTCATCTGGGACCACATCCTCAAGAAGAACACGGGCAAGTGGGAGGCCATCGCCAAGCACCAGGTGAAGCATGCCTTCAGCCCCACTGAGGAAGAGCTGAAGCTCCAGGCACGCAGGTGAGGTCCCCCACTCCGTGCCCATTGTCACCAGGGTCCCAGGGAGCAGGGCTGGAGCTGTGGCAGCGTGCTGCTTGCTGCCCCTTCCTTGTGCACAGTCCTCCTCCTGTCCCACTGCAGGTGGGCACAGACATACAGTCTGGACATGCTGGAGGCCCTCGCCCCCGACAAACCCCGGTGCCGGGTGTGCGGTGTGGAGGCGGCCAAGCGGTGCTCTCGCTGCAGGAATGAGTGGTACTGCACACGGTAAGGGACCTGCAGCTCCCCCTGCCCATTCTCTGAGCCTTACAGCAACTTAATGAGTGCCCCCAGGGACGGGGTGCATCCTCCTGGGCTCTGCAGAGAGGGCACAGCCCTGATGTGCGGCTCCCCCCACAGGGCATGCCAGGTTCAGCACTGGCAGAAGCACCGCACTGCCTGCAACCTGCTGGCCCAGGCGTCAGGCACTGCAGGCACACTGTGAGCAGGACAGGGTCCGACCTGCAGCACGGCAAGGCCCGGTTCTCATTGGAGAAAAGCCCTGTAGCACCACGCAGGCAGGCTCACAGCCCTTCTCCCTGGTAGCCTCATGGGGCTCAGCCTCCATGTCACCACCACACAACACCCCCACTCCTACTGCACCCTGCAGGGGCTCGGCTCCCCCTCTTGTCTCCTCTTTGAAGACAATAAACCACTTCCTCCCCTCCCTCACACCCAGGGAGAGGTTTGTGTGTGTTGCTTTTTACCCCGTGCGACAACAGGAAGCCTGGAGAACTTGAAAAAAGAGCGACCAAAGGTTGAAAGCAGGGATCAAAATGGCCAAGCCAAACCAAGCCATCGAGGCATGGGCTCACTCTCGCTTCAAGCTCCTCGAGGCAGTGGGACGAGAAGGGCTCAGCATCACCTCCCACTGTTAGAGCAGCGGGGTTGGGGGCAGGCAGAGGATGTGGTTAGCGTGGAGCTGAGCGAGCAGGCGTGCTCCTTGGGCTTTGTTAGCTGCTGCCTGTAGGTACAGAGCTGACTGCAGAAAGGAATCACAGAATACCCCCAGCTAGAGGAGACCTGCTGGGATCACCAAGTCCAACGCCTGCCACCACACTGCACCACCCAAATATTAATGTCTGTGGGCAGTGTCCAAATGCCCCTTGAGCTCCAGCAACTTGGGGCTGTGAGGACTTCTGTAGGGAGAAAAGGAATAGCCTGGGTAGGATTTTTTTGGTGCTTCCCCCTCTGCTTTCAGCTGAAGGGACTTCAGCACTGAGGCTCAATCCCCTGGGTGTTGTGTGGTCCCAGGGTACCCAGGATGATGTCGGTGGAGTTACAGGGGCACTGGAGCTGTGGTCTTGGGGCAGGCGGTCTCGCCATGGCGCAGTTCCCGTGCCTGTGGGGCTGGGAGCTCGGCTTTGCTTCTCCCCCTGCGCTCTGGATAGCGGTGGTGTGGAGGCGGCAGCAGCCGGGCGTTTGCGTTTTCTGGTGGAGCCGGCTAGGAGGATGGGGCCGTTCGCAGCCGGCCGGGCCCCGCGGTGCTCGTTTCCGTGGGGCGGTGTGGGGAGGAAAGGGCCCCTCTGCCCCCGCACGGAGCTCGGGGCTGACTGCAGCCGTTCCAGGGTAGCCCCCGGAAGGGAAACTGAGGCGCGGAGCGGGGCTACCCCGGGCTGCGGGAAGCGGGGCCGGCCCGTACCCCCCGCCCCCCCCCGTCCCCGCCTCCAGCCCGCCCCGCCGGGCGCAGCCAGCGGAGCCGCCGCTGCTCCATCGGCCCTTGCCGGGGCTCTGCCTCAGTTTCCCCCGCGGGGCGGCCACTCCCAGCCCGGCTCCCGCCCCGCCGCCGCCGCGCAGCGCCCCGGGCCATGGAGCTGATCGAGCTGCGGGAGCTGCAGCCCGAGCCGCGGCCGGGTCGGGGCCGCCTGGAGCGAACCAACGCGCTGCGCATCAGCCCGGCCCGTCGGCACGGCCCCGGAGTGCGGCCCGAGCCCAGGCCGGCGGCGGCACCGAGCACCGGGCATCGCTTCGAGCCCCGGCGCCGCGGGCTCCACACCTGGTGCGATCTCTGCGGGGACTTCGTCTGGGGAGGCGGCAGGAAGAGCCTCCAGTGCTGCCGTGAGTACCGCTCCCTGCGGCTGCCGGGCACGGCGTCCCGGAGCCGAGCATCCCCCGGGCACTGGGCATCTTCCCTGGGCGTTGGGTGTCCCGGCGTCGAACATCCCGGTAGCATGCATCCCCCTGGCACTGGCTGTTCTGGGATCGGGTATCCTGGTACCATGCATGCCCCTGGGCGCTGGGCATCCCAGTATCAAGCATCTTCCTGGGTGCTGGGCATCTTGGTACTGAGCATTTCCCCCGGCACCGAGCATCCCAGCACCGAGTATAGGGCATCCTTCCCCTGGCACCAGGCATCAGGTATCCTGGTATCAGACACCACCACTCCAAGCATGGGGCATCCCAGTACTAGGTTAATACTCCAAAGCCTGGGCATACTGATATAAAACATCCCCTTGGGTACCAGGTGTCCCAGTGCTGAGCCTCCTGGCATCAGGCAGGCTGAGTCACCAGGCATCCTGGTAGCAGCCAGGGCGTGGGCACCTGTTATCAAACATTCCCTCAAGCACTGAGCACCCCCGTACTGAGCATCTCTTCCCAGGGCACTCCCACTGGGTACCAAGCATCCCAGGTACTGAGCTCCTCAGTGCTGAGCACTCCCACCTGGCACTGGGCTTCTCAGTACCAGGCATCCCAAAATGAACACTGCAATCCCAGTATTGGACATCCACCCAGGGCACGGGCATCCTAGTACTGAGCATCCTGGTCCTTAGAACCTGGTACCGAGCATTTCTAGTGGGCATCCTGGTACCAAGCATTCCAGAACCAACCATCCCAGTACGGAGCACCCGGTACCATCTCCCTTCGCATGGGTATCCTGGTATCAAGTATCTGCTCAGGCACCAGGCATCCCATTGCTGGGTGCCCCCACTGTGTAACCCAGGCAGGGGACACAGGCACCTTAGTAATGCCCAGCAGCACCGGGTGCCGTGCGGGTGCTGGCTCCGGGTGCCTCGGTACAGTGTGGACAGGTGGCACGGGCCGTGCACAGGGTCTGGTGGGGCCGTTGTGCCCACGGTGCCCTCTGCCCCCAGACTGCAGCTTCACCTGCCACTACCGCTGCCGGGCCCTCGTGCGACTGGACTGCAGTGGCCCCGCAGGCACTGGGGATGAGGACGATGGCAGCGAGCAGGAGCTGGAAAAGGACACGAATGTGGTACGGGGCCACGGGGTTGGGGACACGGCGGGAGGGGGGACAGCCCAGGCTGGGCCGTGCCAAGCCAAGGCGCACCGTGCCATGCCAAGAGATGCCGTGCTATAGCACGCTATGGCACGCTGTGCCACGCCACGCCATGCTATGCGGTGCTGCGCCACGCCGTGCCGTGCCGTGCCGAGCTATGCCGTGCCGTGCCACTCGACGCCATGCCGTGCCGCGGCAGTCCCGGGACCGCAGGGTGCGTGGCCTGGGTGAAATCACCGCCGGAAACGGGGCCGCACCGCCCCCGGCCCGCGTCAGGCCAACGGCCGCGGCGGGGCGGGGCCGGGCTGAGCCGAGCCGGGCAGCGGGAGAGCGGGAGAGCGCGGAGCCGGGCGGGGACTGCGCGAGATACCGGGCCGAGCCGGGACCGAAAGCGGGACCGGAAAGCGGGACCGAACCGAACCGGGACCTGAGCCGAGGACCGGCGCCGAGCCGAGCCGGGCGAAGCGCTCGGAGCGCAGCGGGGCCGTGCTGAGCCGAGCCGGAGCGGGCGGGCTGGCGCGGGGCCGGGCGTGCCCCTGTGCCCGGGCCGGGGCTGCTGCAGCCGTGGCCGGGGTGGGGGGCGGCGGCGGCGGCGGCGGCGGGGCGGGGGCCGGCGGCTGCGGGGCGGCGGCGGCGCTGGCGCTGCGCTGGGGCGGCGCGGGGGGCTCAGGGGGCAGCGCGGCCAGCAGCGGCTACTGCAGCCAGGAGGACTCCGACTCCGAGCCCGAGCTCTTCTACACCGCCCGCACCTCCTTCGGCCGCCGCCCGCGTCGTCGCCAGGTCGGTCCCGGGCCGGCCGTGACGTCGTGGGGCTGACGTCATGCGGGGGGCACGGGGTGGTTTTTTGGGTGGGAGGAGTTCGGGAGTACTTCTGCATGGGGGCATGCGTGGGGGCGAGCATGGCTTGCTACTGGGGCAAGCGCGGGGGGGAGAGCGTGCCTTGCTAGGAGCGAGCTGTCCCCATTCCCAGGCGGGTCCAGCAGCCCCTGCCCGCAGCCCCGGCTGCTCCCGTGAGGGAGCACGGGTCCCACGTAAATAGTTATTAACAGATCCGGGCGGGCTGCCCGGAAGCCTAGGGCATCCCCGCGGGGCACCCAGCCTGCCCCGGTGCCGGGCTGGCGGCTGCCTCGGGGACACCGCTGTGATCTGGGGCACTGGGAGGGGACGCCTGGCCCTGGGCTGTCCCGGCTGGGAGGAGCGTGGGTTGGCATCGCCATCTGTCACCCCACCTTCACGGCCCTGGGGTGCCCATCTCAGCTTTGGGGACGGGCACGAGGCCGTGGTGGTGGCTTGGCACCGGGCAACGTGACCCTGCGCAGCCCGTGCTCAGCACAGCCGCTGCCCGGCAGGATGAGCCCAGCAGCTGGGAGACGGCGGAGCTGGACCCGGCGCAGGTGGAGCAACGCATCAAGGAGTACAACAGCCAGATCAACAGCAACCTCTTCATGAGCCTGGTATGAGGATGGGGAGGGACAGAGGGGACCACAGCCCCGGCCCCGCTCACCGCCCCGCCGTCTCCCCGTGACAGAACAAGGATGGCTCCTACACTGGCTTCATCAAGGTGCAGCTGAAGCTGGCGCGCCCCGTCTCTGTGCCAGCTGCCAAGCGGGGCCCTGGAGGGCGGTCGGGGCAGCGCACGGCGGGCGTGAAGCGCCGCACATCCTTCTACTTGCCCCGCGGCACCGTCAAGCACCTGCACGTGCTCTCACACACCCGCGCCAGCGAGGTGATCAGCGCGCTGCTCCGCAAGTTCACCGTGGTGGACGACCCCCGCAAGTTCGCCCTCTTCGAGAGGTCCGAGAAGGATGAGCAAGGTAGAGCCGGAGTGGTGGCATCCCCATAGCGGCAGCGACCCGTAGCACCGGTTGTCCCCCATGGCGGTGGAGTTCCCAGCAGCCCCCCCCCCCCCCCCCGGCAGTGATGTCCCCATCGCGGCAGCATCCGCTGCGTTCCCTACAGTCGCAGTCCGCGTGGCGGCGGTGTCCCAATGGCCGTCGTGCATCGCTCTCGCAGCGGTGTCCCCGATGGCGGTGGCATCCCGCGGTGGCAGCGTCCCCGCAGAGTTTTCGTCCCCCACGGTGGTGGCGGCGTCCCCGGGGCGGCAGCCCTTTCCAGCAGCCGCGTCCCCACCCGCGGCGATGCCATCCCGGTGCCACGTCTGCCCGCAGTGTACCTGCGCAAGCTGGCGGACGAGGAGCAGCCGCTGCGACTGCGTCTGCTGGCAGGGCCCAGCGAGAAGGCGCTGAGCTTCGTCCTGAAGGAGAACGAGAGCGGCGAGGTGAACGTGAGTGTGGCGGGGAGGCGCGGTGCCGCGCGGCGGTTCCGTGCGGGCGGTGCGACGTACAGCGCCGTGTCTCCGCAGTGGGACGCCTTCTCGCTGCCCGAGCTGCACAACTTCCTGCGCATCCTGCAGCGCGAGGAGGACGAGCAGCTGCGCCGCGTCCGCCACCGCTACGCCCGCTGCCGCCGGGAGCTGCAAGCCGCGCTGGCCGCCCGCACGCCGGGATGACGCCAACCGCACCGGCACGGCCGCCCGCCGGCGGGGGCGCGTCGCCGGGAGCGCGGGGCGGCGCGGGGCGTCGCGCTCCGATCAATAAAGCGCTGGGAGAATAGGCGAGGCGTGCCCGTGCCTGTGTCTGCGCCGCGCGGTCGGCCCGGGCCTCGGGCGGAGAGGCGGCGGCGGGACTCGAACCCTTGGCCTCCCGCTTCCCGCCGCGAGGCGCCACGAGGGAGACGGCGGCCCGCTCCCTCGTCACGTGACGAGGGCGTCCCACCTCTCCGAGTCACGTGCAGGGGGCGCCGCCGCGCGCCGGAAGTGTCGCAGCGCGACGGTGTCTGCGGCGCAGGCCGGCAGGCAGGGAGGCGGCCGGGCGGGCGCCGGGCCGCTATCGCCGGGCCGCCCCCCGCCTCACCCCGTCCCCTTCCGCCGGGCCCCGCCGCCGCCATGGGTGCCAGCGGCTCCAAGTCGCGGGGGCTGTGGCCGTTCGCCTCCTCGGCGGCGGGCGGCGGCGGAGCCGAGGGTCCCGGCGGGCAGCAGGCCCTGGCCCGGGCGCGGGGCGGGCGCGCCGCCACCCCGTTCGTCTTCACGCGCCGCGGGTGAGCGGGGGGCGCGGCTGCAGCGGGGCGGAGGCGCCGCGGGGCGGCTGCCGTGGGGGTGGGCGGCGGTGACCCGGCGGCGGGGAGGCGGGCGCGCCCCGCCCGGAGCGGGCCCGGCTGGGGGCACCGGGAGCGGCCCGGCGGCCTCGTGCGCGCGGTGCCGCCTGCGGGCGCTGCTCCGGGCCTCCGCCAGCCCTCCTCGCTCACGTGCCCGCCGCCCCTTCCCGCAGCTCCATGTATTACGACGAGGACGGGGATCTTGCCCACGAGTTCTACGAGGAGACGATCGTCACCAAGAACGGGAGGAAGCGTGCCAAGCTGAAGAGGATCCACAAGAACCTGATACCTCAGGTAGCGTGTGCAGAGGGGCGGGTGCGGGGCCGGTAGCTGGCAGCTCCTGCACACGGCCGCAACCCTCAGAAGCCCCGGTTTGCTGCAGGGAAGGCCTGCTTCCTACTGCTCCCGTAGCTCTGGGGCTCCGGCTGCGGTACGGACCTGTTCACACCCGTGCCATCTTGTGGTGCTGTGCCACCCTGCTAGCTTCCTTTCCACAGAGGAGCGGTGCCTGGTGCGTGATGCTGTTGGGCAGAGCAGATGGACACTCTGGATTTGTGCTACGGAGTGCCTGCCCATGACACCCCGTCCACTGAGCACTTTCCCTCTGCTGTGGGAGCTGGCACAGCGGTGTCACATTGTTACAGAGTTGCTGGGAGCAGCGGCCAGAGCCTGTCACGTGCTAATGTGAGCATGCCCTCAGCAGTGACAGCGGTGCTGCCACTGATGGGATCTGCATATTGGCTTGCTTGGGATTTGGTCTCCTTTTAAAATAAGTGAACGTGGTGAAGCCAGACAGGGGTTGAGACACTGGTTGAGATACAGGAGAAAAATGACTTCAGTGTAGGGGAGCTTCTGGGGGTGTAAGTGGAGAATAGGGGGATGGAGCCTGTCAGCAGAGGCAGCCTGCAGAAGTCTGTGAAGCAGGGAAGGCATGGCCCCAGCCTGAACCCAGGGGGAGCTGTTGATGCACTCCGAAGGGCATGCAGAAGGACAGGCTCTGCTGCTCTCACGGAGGAGGGTAGGGATGTGGAGTTGCGTCCCATCCTTCCTCTGTGTGGGTTCAAACTCCTGTCGTTAGACAGCATGGCCCAGCTGGAATGAAGCACAGAACGTCTCTTCACTGGCCCAGGCTTTTCTTTGCTCTTTTATCCTAATCCTGCCAAGCAAACGTGCACTTCTCGCCCTGGTGAGCACAGAGTCCCGCTCACACTGCTGTCTCACGAGCGTGTCCTCGCAGTGCTGTGACAGGAGATTGCTTGCCCCAGAGCATGGGAAAGGCGCCTGTAGCTGGCATGGATGGAGCCTGCATTCAGCAGTGTCCCCTTGGACAGAAAGCTGCTTTTCTCATGCGCCAGCTGCCCTCACTGCATTTTCTCAGAGAGCTCTTTTCATTCTTTTAAATCCCGTGAATGAAAGGTGCTGAATGAAAAGCGGGGGCAGCCAATATCTGCCAGTCACGCATCAGCTGCCGCACGGGCAGTGCCTGGCAGAGCAGCTCCCTCCTTCCTCGCCCGGCTGCACTCCAGACCCGTCGTGTGCAGCAGCAGCCGCGCCTCCTGTGCCTCCCTGGGGCCAAGGGCAAAGGGCAGAGCACTTCTGCACTGCCTCTCTGCTGTCCTTGCTGCCAGGGTGGCAGCGCAGACCTTTTCCTTGAGGGCATGTTGCCCTCAGGATGGTGCCTTGCAGAGCTCTGTTTGCCTGAGAGTGCTTGTTCTGTCTCTGTGCCACCCCCCTGTCCACCACTCATCCTCTTCTTTCAGGGCATAGTTAAGCTGGAGCACCCTCGCATTCATGTGGATTTCCCTGTGATCATCTGTGAGGTGTGACTGCTGGGTGCTGCTGCCCGTGGGCGAGACGGACCCGAGTGTCCCCACGCGAGGCTGCCCTGTGTTCCCAGCGAAGGAGGACGCTGAGACGTGGACTGTGGCTCTTCTTTGCCCAACGGCCAGGCAGGACGGAGCAGGCTTGGCTGGGCTCTACTTGGCTGCTGCTCCTCGGAGGAGATGGGTGCCCTCGTGCAACTACATAGAAACATCCTCACTTGAGTCAAAAGACTTAAAATACCTTTTGTAGCCTCTAGCCGACGTTTGGATGGGTAACTGGAACTGCACATGAGCTGCTGTGTGAGCTGTTAAAGGGAGAGCAAGCCTACACTTCTCGCCAGACAAAATCCCTTGCTTCTCAGGTATGCGGCCCAGGGAGAGCCAGGGCAAAGTGACTGCCCAGCAGTTACGTGGCTGGTGTTGCAGCAGTGTGCAGTCTGGCATGGGCACACAGTGCTCCCCAGCAGGTCTGTCCGCAGAAGATAACCGGAAGCTGGTGTAGAAACGCATCCAGCTGAGTGCTGTGCTCCTCTTGGGATGGGGCAGAGGTAGGATGCTGTTATCCTGGCCACCTGTCTCTTCCTTGTACGTGTTCCCTGCTTAACACTGGTTCTGGGACTGCTGCCTGCACCACAGACCCTGAGATCTCTGCAGTGCGGAGCCGTCTGAGTTCCCCAGCAGCATCTGCCTGCCCTGTCTGCCCGCTTGTGCTGTGGGAGCAATCTGGCTCCCGTAGAGCACAGTACCTCCCAATGGGAACAGCCTCAGAAGGGCCAGGCGGGAAGGAAATCATCACTTCCCTCCCCATTCCTCTCAAACAATCAGTCAGTAGGCCTGCCCTGGCTTGGAAATCTCCCTGGCGATGTGAACTACGGTTCCTCCCTCGCCCTGTGCCCCAGCTGGCGGCAGGAGGAGAAATGTGATGCACTTTAAAGGGAGGCTTTCTGCCCCGTCTGGGAAAGCCCTGCTCTCTTCTCTTCTCTCCCACTTGAGCAGATTGGCGCAGATTGGCCTCAGCTGTGCTGCAAAATTCTTCACCTCTGCACAGGGGCCCTGGGTGCTGAGCTGGCTGCTGCTGGGCTGGAGAACAGCACAATCCATGCTGGCACCTGCTAGCACTGGTGGCTGCTGCTCAGCCTCACTGCGCGTGAGGAAGGGGCTCGAAGACAACCTGTGTGTCCACCCCAGGGCATTGGGTGCAGATTTTGCCCAGCTTGCAGCCTGCTCCCACAGTAGCCAGCTTGCATCCCCTCCTTTTTTGTCCCAGAACTTATTTACTTTCTGAGCACTTCAGACGTTCGCTACCTCGATTTTTGATTTAAGCTGCCAGCTCTTGGCTGCCGGCCCTATCGGCGTCCGCATTGGATGTATCCATCCCTGTACCCACCGAGAGCCGCCCAGGCGCAGGGCCGCATTCCTGGCTTCTGGGAGATAAAGGCGGCGTGGCTGTTGCCGTCTTCCTGTCACCGCCTCTTCCCTCCGTGTCCCCCACCCGCTGTTCCCATTGACAGGGGCCGGCGCGGAGGGCGAGGCGGATGGGCTGGGCTCCAGCGGGGAGCTGGTCTGTACTGTGATGCTGGGCATTTCTCTCGACATCCTTTGTTCCCCCGCTTGCTTGGAAGAGTCTGTCTTCAAGTAATCCTCCACTGAAGTGTTTCTTATTCATGCCACCTGCTCTGAGACGGGCTCAGACCGCAGCCTCCTGAGAACGGCGTCTCTGGGGCCGCTTTTGTTCTCTCCCGGAGGCTGCCCTGCCCCTTCCACCCTTCCCCCAGGGCACCGCACACGCTTCCCCCCAGCCCATGTATTCTTCCACCCCTTTTCCCGGCGAGGCAGCAAGCACTGAGCGCCTCACCGAGCTGCTTCTCCCAGCCTGGCCCCGTCCTGCTGCGCGGGGCAGGCAGGTCCTGGGCGTCTGGAGGGAGCTGGAGAAACGTGACAAATGTGTAAATAGTGTCTGTGTCCACTGTGTCGTTGGAGCAAGCGAAACGAGGAAGTTTCCTTTCCTTTTTTTTTTTCTTTTTTTCCTTTTTCTTTCTTTCTTTTTTTTTTTTTTACGACTTCTGTGCAACGTTGTGCTTTCCCGTGTGGATGTGTAGCTGGATCGTAATCACAGCACTAGGCGTGCCGGTAGGAAGCGTGGGGTTGGGAAACATACACTATTTATGGTCCTTCCTCTGCCTCCCAGTGCATCTGTCTACTTTTGTTAAATTTCAATAAACTTATTTGTAGATCCTGCAGGTCTGGGGGCTGGTTCCCTGGGGAAGGTTGGGGCTGGGAGCAGCTGAGCCTGTGCCAGGAGGGGGCATTTTGGAGTTCTGAGGAATCTCAGCTTTTTTGGAAGGTTTTGGAAGCCTCTGGCTGGCTGGCACCACAGGGATGCTGGAACTGAGCAGCTCTGCCTGCGCAGCACCTCCCAGCGTCCCCCAGTGAAGCCCTGTGCCTGGGGACAGGGGCAGGTGGTGGATTGTTAGTGGTGGCACTTGATGAATCAGCCCTTTGGCTCTCTTTACCTGCTGATTTCTTCCGACGTGGGCAGCAGCGCTTGCTGAGGGCTGTTCGGGTGAGCACGAGTGCTGGCAAGGACGGTTCCTGCTGCTGTGCTGCACGTGAGTGGGTAATGGTGATATCTTTGATGCCACATCTTGGGAGCTGGGCTGTGCCGTTTATGATGTGCTGGAGTGAATTCCTCTTTCTCAACTGGAGTGTATCTCCGCCTGGGCTGTGCTGACTCAAACAGACCTCTTCCCACCCCAGCACTGGAGCTCTGCCGGGACAGGATCTGTGCGTCCGTTCCTTAATCACTCGCCTGACAAATCAGTGCCTCATCAATCGCACTAACGCAACGCATTTCTCATCACCGGCATGACCCCGTGTCAGACTGCTGCCTGCTGTCCCATCCTCACCGGACAGAGTGAGCATGATCTCAGTGCAGCCCTGCATCCTGCTCTGCCCTGCAGCCCTGCAAGTGTTTTCCTGCCACCACGTTTACATCATTTCCTCCACGCGAGCCGGCTGCAAAATGAGCAGCTGACGAAGGCTTTAACAAGAGCGATGACCGCTATGACTCTAGGGGACCCTGGGCTCCCCATGCAGCTGGGTCTGCCTGTTGGTCCATGGGGACCAAACCCCTTGGGGACGGCTCACAGTGTCCCGGCGATAGCACTGGCGTCATGGCCAGGTGAAGCTGAACAATGCGGCAGCACTGGCTCAGCCACGGGGCAGCTTTGTGTCCTGCTGGGACGTGTGGCTGTGCCCCATCCCTCAGTGTCAGCCCCTCGCCTGGCCCTGACCCCTGCAGCCACCCCGGGTGACACCCAGCCTCCTGCGCAGGAGGATGGAAAATTTTAAGCATTTCTTGAGCCTGTTTACGGCCCCAGGCAGGCGGCATGGAAGGGAAGGGCAGCACCCGCCTGCACTACGATTTCTTGGCTCCTGGCAGAGGCTTCTTGGCAGGGCAGCGGGCAAAGTGGCACTGTGATCACACTGGGATCTCAGCCCAGGGGTGGAGGACGGAGCCCTGAAGCCATCGGCAGGAGATAACATGGGCAGGGCTGCATGGAGGGGCTGGGGACGGATTCTGTGTGGTGACACGATGGCGTTCCTGTTCCTCGGGAGCACTTCCGGAGATTCAGCCCTGCTTCCTTCCCTGTGCCGGCCGGACTGGGTGGCTCCCAGCCCCGTTGTTGGGTGACATCCTCATCCTCATGGTGTGTTCCCATGCCTGTGGCCACAGGGACAGATGGAGGGAGCTAGCACCAGTGGGGATGCCCCAGGATGCAGCTGGCCCATCTCCAGTACTTGGGCCCTGGGGGCACTGAGGCCGGTTTGTCCCCCCTCGCTCTGTGCTTTGGTGGTCTGAGGGGACACGGGGAACATGGATGGGGAGTGTCCCTATGCAGGCCTGTTTGTCACCAACTCGTCACCCCAGGAGCAGATGGCAGCGGGGCCACTGTGACCCTGCCTCTCCCCAGCTGCTGCCTTCAGGCTGACTTCATATCCCGCTGGCAGTGACGGTGACGTATGGATGCTGCCTTCCCGGCCCCCCGCGCCCTCCTGCCACCCTCACACCCAGGCACGGGTGGGCAATGAGGATGGCCGGGCCGCGTCCCCGAGCCCGCCGTCCCCCCGCTTGTCCCCATGCCCAGGGATGCAGCCAGAGCCTCCTCCCACGTCCCCCGGGCAGGAAACCAGCGGCTGAGCCAGCAGTACTGAGCGTGTGCGCAGGACGTCCCGGCTCCCGGTGACCCCCGCGTGCCTCGGGGACACCACCGCACCGGGGACACCGCCACAGCCCTGGGGACGCCGCCCCGGGGACGCGGCTGCCCTCGGGACACCACTGCGGGGTCGGCGGCACCGCGGGGACCCCATCCCAGCGCCACCCCCGCCCCGGGTCCCCGCCGCCCGGCCGCCCCCGCGCCCCGCGGCGCCCCCTACCGGAGGCCCCGCCCCCGTGCCCGTGCCCCGCCCACCGCCGGGCCCGGGGCCGGACGGGCCGTACCAAGCGCGACGCGGGCGGAGGGGAAACCCTCCCCGCGGGTCCGGCCGCGCCGCGTCCGCGAGCCCCTCCGGCAGAGCGACGCCGCCTCCCGGCCCTGGGCCGCGCTGCGGGCGGGGCCGGGCCGAGCGGGGCCGGAGCGGGCGGGAAGCCGCTCCCCCGCGGCGGCGGGCGTGGTGCGCGCCGGGCCGCTTTAAAACGGGGCGGCGGGGGGAGGCAGCGCCGGTGGAGCTGCGGCGGGACGCGAGAGGAGAGCGGCGGGGCTGAGAGGGGGTGCAGCCCAGCGGCAGGGCCGCACGTGGCCGCCCCGCCCCGGCCGCGTCCCGGCGGCTTTGTGTGGCGGCGGCGCCCGGCCGGGCTCCGGACAAAGGCGTCGAGGGAGCGGCGCGGCGCGGGGCCGCCCGGTGCGCGCAGGATGCGCGGCGGCTGCGCGGCGGTGCTGGCGCTGGTGCCGGCGCTGCCCTGGCTGGTGCCGGCCGTCCTGGCCGTCCTGGCCCGGCAGTCCTCCGAAAAACCGTCGGCCGCGCCGCTGCTGACCCGACGGCCCTTCCTGGTGGCCTGGAACGCGCCCACGCAGGACTGCAAGCCCCGCTTCCAGGTGGCCCTGGACTTCAGCATCTTCGACCTGCACGCGTCGCCCAACGAGGGCTTCGTGGACCAGAACCTCACCATCTTCTACAAGGAGCGCCTGGGGCTCTACCCCTACTACAACAAGCGGTGGGAGCCCGTCAACGGCGGCGTGCCGCAGCAGAGCAGCCTGGCTGAGCACCTGGCCCGGCTGCAGGAGGGCATCGGCAAGTACATCCGCTCGGCCACCTCGGAGGGGCTGGCGGTCATCGACTGGGAGGAGTGGCGGCCCATCTGGATGCGCAACTGGAAGCCCAAGGACGTGTACCAGGAGGTGTCCCGGGAGCTGGTGAAGCAGAGGCAGCCGTCCTGGTCCCCGGAGGAGGTGAACAAGCAGGCGGTCTTCGAGTTCGAGTCGGCCGCGCGGCAGTTCATGGTGAGAACGCTGCGCTATGCCAAGAGCTTCCGGCCCAAGCAGCTCTGGGGGTATTACCTCTTCCCCGACTGCTACAACCACGACTACAGCAAGAACAAGGAGAGCTACACGGGGCAGTGCCCCGATGTGGAGAAGACGCGCAATGACCAGCTGGCGTGGCTGTGGAACGAGAGCCTGGCGCTCTACCCCTCCATCTACCTCGACCCGCTCCTGGCTTCCACACCCAACAGCCGGAAGTTTGTCCGGGCGCGGGTGATGGAGGCCATGCGCATCTCGCGGCAGCACCACGAGGGCTACAGCCTGCCTGTCTTCGTCTACACGAGGCCCACCTACAGCCGCAAGATGGATGTGCTCAGCCAGGTAGGGCTGGTGGTGGGGCTGCCCCCTGGTGAGGAGTTCAGACCCTTGGCAGTGTCGTTGGGATTTTCTTGTCCTGCACGTGGGTGGCCCCAAGCCGTGGAGAAGAGGTTCTGGGCCAGCTGTATGCTGCTCCCTGGAGTGTGGTGGCTTCAGCCACTGTGGCGGTGCCACCATCACCTTGTGTTTTTGCTGTCCTCAGCTTGGCAGCAGGACCGGCCCCTTCCAGTGGCACTGAGAGCCTCGTTCCCTGCCAGAGGGGCTGGTGGGTGCTGTCACCAGTCCCTCTGGCCCTCCCAGATGTGGGGCCCTTGCAGGGCCTGCTGGTAGTGGGGCCTGCAGCTCTTGGGTCCCCTGGCCTTGGAGGGTTGGGTCTGGGAGGAGGCTGGTCCCTTAGGGGCTGGGATGGTCTCCTGCATCTCTGGGGCGCGCTGTGCTGCATGGGGCTCACAGGCACTAACTGGGCTCTGTCCCCACAGCCGGACCTCATCTCCACCATCGGCGAGAGCGCAGCGCTGGGAGCAGCAGGGGTCATTTTCTGGGGTGACGTGGAGTACACCAAAAACCGGGTAGGTCTGAGTTCTGCCCAGGCACCTGCAGCTTGAGGCTAAGGTGATCTCTGCATGCGGGATGTTTCTCTCCCTGGGACATCCCAGCACTTTCTTGACACCCCTCTTGTTTTTTTTCCCCCCAGGAGTCATGCCAGACAATCAAGGATTACATGGAAGGAGACCTGGGCCGCTACATTGTCAACGTGACGACGGCAGCACAGCACTGCAGCATAACGCTGTGCCAGGGACAGGGCCGCTGCCTGCGCAAGAACAGCACCGCCAACGTCTTCCTGCACCTCAACCCGGCCACCTTCCAGCTGCAGCACCGGGACGAGGAGCAGCCCCAGCGTCCTCTCATCTGGGCTAAGGGCCACCTGTCTCATACTGACATCCATTTCCTACAGACCCACTTTCGCTGTCACTGTTACCAGGGCTGGCAGGGCAACTCCTGCCAGCAGCCAGCTGGACCTCATGGGGGTGCCCCTGGCCTCCTGGCACCGATGGGTCTGGGGGTGCTGCTGGTGTTCTTGATGTGGTGCTAGCCAGGCCAGACTGCACCTTTTCTGTAGTGGTGTAGCGGACCGGTTGGAGACAGCCCTGAATCGCCTGCTGGCAGCTCACTGTTGGGATGCCTCAGGATAGTGGGGTTGCCTTCTGCCCTCTGTGCTAAGGGGCTGGGGACAGAGGGCGGGGTTTTTTTGGGGGGGGAAGGGGAAGGGAACCTCTCCTGTTGTAAGGAGAGGAAATGGGGCAAGAGGGGTATGGGGGCAGGGAGGTGGGTGCTGCGTGGTGCTGAGCCCCCGTGCGCTGCCCGACACCAAAGTGCTTTACCTCAATTAAAGCTGGAGGAGCGAGAGAAGGGCGTGGAGTGCTTGGGGCGGGGGTTGCGGAGGCGCGGACCGGTCCTCCCCCCGCTCCGGCGGCTGCGGGGCTGCGGCTGCCGCGGGCTCGGCAACGCCGGGCCACCCACGTGGAGGCAACGCGGCCCCGCCCGCCGCCCCGCCTCCCGGCGCGGTTCCGCCCTCGGGCCGCTCCTGGCCGCGCCCCCTCCGCGCCCGCCCGCGGCCTTCCCCCCGCCTCGGCCCCGCCCCGGGCAGCTCGGCCCCGCCCCTCGCAGCGTGACCGGTGAGTGCGGGTGCGTGGGGCGGCGGATGGGGGGGCGGCGGGCCGCGGCGGGGTCGGGAGGGCCGCGTCGGCACGGCGTCGTCCGTCGCTCGGCCTGGCGGGGGGGTGGATGGAGGGGGAGGGGGCTGTCCGGCCTGCGCCCACCCCGGGCTGCGTCCCGTGTCCCCGCCCTCTTCCTGCGCCTCTCTGTCCGCAGACGGGGGACGGCGGACACGCGACGTCGTCGCGTGTCCGCCGTCCCCGAGCTTCTCTCCCCGTGGGAGCCTCCCCAGGCTGCAGTTCCGTGCCCTGCGTGGCTCTGGCCGTGCTCCCCAGCTCCCGGTGCTGCGTGCTTCCCCCAGCGGTGCCGCAGATGCCGCCTGTCCCCTAGCAGCATCCCCTTCGCGGTGATCTTGCCCGCCGCTCCCCTTTCCTCCCTCCTCTTCCCCCCCGCCCCCCCGTCTGTTTATCTTTCCGGCCCCGCTCCCCGTTGCCCCATCGCTCATTAAGCCACGCCGGGGCTGCGGTGCCAGGCTCTGCCCGCTGATAACTTTGAGGACCTCCTGCAGGGACGTGAGGTGGCCTCACGTGGCTGTCACCGCCAGGGGAGGGATGGGGCTGGAAGCCCTCCCCCACTCCAGCTGAGGATAAAAGGGCTGCGATCGCTGTGTCTCCACAACGCCGGGTTGTCCCTGAGCGGGTCCGGTCTCCCCGCGGCACCATGGCACCCAGGTGGCTTTGCTGGGCCCTCCTGCTGCTCCTGCCTGCCCCGGCCCGTGCTGCCGGACCTGGCCCTGTTCTGGTCAACCGCCCCTTCGTCACCGTCTGGAACATCCCCAGTGAGTCCTGCGCCCAGCAGTACAACGTCACCCTGGCCCTGGAGGTCTTTGATGTCGTGGCCAACACGGAGGAGGCCTTCACGGGGCAGGACATCACGCTGTTCTACAGCTCGCGCCTGGGGCTCTTCCCCTACTACACGGCACAGGGGCAGCCGGTGGACGGGGGGCTGCCGCAGAACGCCAGCCTGGCGGCCCACCTGCAGCAGGCCAGGAGGGACATCGAGGCCGCGTTGCCCAGCACCACGTATGCCGGGCTGGCCGTTGTTGACTGGGAGCAGTGGCGCCCGCTGTGGGCCCGCGACTGGGGCTCCATGAACATCTACCGGCAGAAGTCAGAGGAGCTGGTGCAGCAGCAGCACCCGCTGTGGCCTGCCAGCCGTGTGGAGGAGGTGGCCCAGCAGCAGTACCAGAAAGCTGCCCGTGCTTTCATGGAGCAAACGCTCCGGCTGGGTGAGGCCATGCGGCCTGGTGGCTACTGGGGCTTCTATGGCTTCCCCGACTGCTACAACAACAACTTCAGCAACCCGCTGTACAACGGCAGCTGCCCGGTGGTGGAGCAGCAACGCAACCAGGAGCTGGGTTGGCTCTGGAACTGCAGCCGGGCGCTCTACCCCAGCATCTACCTGCCCCAGCAGCTCCAGGGCACCGACAAGGTGCTGCGCTATGTGCGGTACCGCGTGGCCGAGGCCTTCGCTGTCCAGAAGGGCATCCTCAGCACTGCCATCCCTGTCCTGCCCTACACTGAGATCATCTATGACAACACCTCTGACTTTCTCTCCGAGGTGAGGCTAATGGGGATGGGGTGTGGGGAGCTGGTGGGTATCCCAGGGCTCCTGGTGCTGTGCCGGGGAAAGCAATGGGTTGCACCAGTGGTTTTTGGCTCTGCTGTGGTGTTGTGGGGGTGTGTGGGGTGGCTCTGTGCCTGGATGACCTCTTGTCTCCCCTCGGGCACAGGAGGACCTGGTGAATACTATTGGGGAGAGTGCGGCTCAGGGTGCTGCCGGCATCATCATCTGGGGAAGCTCTGCTGACACTGACTCCAAGGTGAGTTGGGCATGGGCTGTGAGGACCCCATCACCAGTGCACCGTGATGGGACTGTGACACCACCTCCCCTTGCAGGAGAAGTGCCTGAAGCTGAGGGACTACCTTGATGGGGCCCTGGGCCACTACATCGTCAATGTGACAACCAGTGCCCAGCTGTGCAGCCAGAGCCTGTGCTCCGGGAACGGCCGCTGTGTGCGCAGGGAGGGCAAGCTGGCCTTCCTACAGCTTGACCCCAGGCGCTTTGCCATCAACCTGAAAGCCAAAAAGCCCCAGCCCATGGTGTGGATCCTGGCCGCCAACAGTGACATGTCCCAGCTGGATGAGGATTTCACCTGCCAGTGCTACAGTGGCTGGCAGGGAGAGCACTGTGACAGCCAGGGCTCCTCTAATGAGTGAGCAATGGCTGTCTTCCGTGCTCTGTGCTGAATGTGTCATGAGATGGGGAAGGTCATGCTGTCCTTCCTCCACGTGGGAAGCATGGAGAAAAAAAAAGCCCAGGCTGCTAATAAAACTGCTGTGCATTCTATAGGGTTGCTACATTCTTTTACTGTGATTCTGCCAGTCGTGAGTTTGGAATGGCAAGGGGAGGGGTGCATGTCCCTCAGTGCCACCCAACTGTGTCCCAGGGTCAGGCATCAGGCTGTGGGGTCTTGCAGTGTCCCTTCTAATGGTATACAGAAGGCTTGATGTGGTCCTTTCCCCACTTATAGCTGAGCTGTGCCCTGCCATCCCTATGCGTTTCTAGCAGAGGTGCAGGTGCTGTAGAAGGGGCAGGGATGAATCAGCTGGGCTCCAGCTCCTCCTGTCTTGGGTTTGGCTGCCACAACTGCCCAGTCTTCTTACGTGTACAGTGATGGTGGGGACAGAGGCAGACCCCGTCCAAGAGTCACAGTGGAGTAGGGTTGGCAGGGACTTCTGGAGGTCATTTGGTGCCACTCAGATCATCTGCCCCAGCCCCGTGCCCACGTTTCCCAGGAAAGGAGCTCACAAACCTCTGAGGGCAGCCTGTGCCGGCGCTGGGTCCCTGCACAGCCCAAGCGTTTGCTGACGCTCAGATGGAGCCTGCCGTGCTCCATTCTGTGCCCACTGCCTCCTCCTGTCCCCGGGCAACGCTAAGCTCGGCTCCGTCCTCTCTGCCCCGCTCTGCTGGCCATAACGCACACGGAGCCCCTTCCGCGGTCGGGACGTGCGGGCAGCCTGCAGGACGCGGCCCGGCCGCTCCGCACCACGCGAGCACAGCGCCGGCACACGCGGAGCCGGGGCACGGCGAGGGAACCGAACGCGGCGTCGAGAGCCGCTTCGCCCTTCGCAGAGAGCCGCGGCACGCAGACGGGCGCTCGCCTTCGGCACGGGGAGAGCATCGCAGAGAAGGCGACGCGCCTTCTGCTCACAGGAAGGTACCCGTGCTGCAGCCGCCTCCCCGGCAGCCCCGCACCGCCCCGCCTGCAGCTGCGGCCCCAACAGGGCAGCTGCAGGTGATGGGCTGGCAGCCCAGTGCGGGCTGTGCGAGGGGCGGGGGGAGGGCAGAGCTGGGGGTGTTGGGGGCTGAGGGATGTGGATAACGAGACGGTTATTGGGTTGGTAATTAGTGGATAGCAAAATAATTGACAGGGAGAGCGTTGTGGATAGTAAGAAACCTACTTTGTAGCAGGACAGAAAAATGATAGTGAGATAGTGATAGATGGTGCATGGCAAGACAGGTAAATGATAGATGGTGTGTGGATCGAAGATACTTAGTGGAAAGCAAAAGAGTTGCTAGTGAGATAGATATATTATGTTGGGATATTTGATTGGGAAATAGAGGACAGAAACAGCTGATAGTGAGACAGCTGATAGATAGAGTTGATAGCAATATAGAAAGCTGATAACAGAAATTTATTTGGTCTCTGCTGCAGGTGAGCCACTGAGTCCTCAGACAGCACTCTCCCCCCCAGCATGTGATGAAGAGCAACGCCTGGTGCTGCCTCAGCGCCGGCAGAACAGCTCTGGGAACGCCTGTCCTGCCAGCAGAGCACTGGGGAGAAGAGGACGCGCCTCCTGCTCAGAGGAAGGGATGTCAGTGTGTGGGCACATGGCCCAGCTCCCAGCCTGTTCTCCTGGCTGGGAGGGGCGTTCCCATAAGAGAAGCCTGGGGCAGCAGAGGAGGTGAGGATGGCCAGAAACGTTCTGCATTAGCGAGGGCACATCTCGGGTGAAAACACCAGCGGGGTTCTGACAGTCTCTGAATGCTTTACCCCGAATTGGAAGTTGAAACCAAATCATAAATATTTTTATATATAGGTTTCTTTTTTTTTGTAATTCAAAGTCTTTCTTCTCTTATCCTTCTGATTTTCTGTCTTGACATGATGGCAACTAACTTTTCTCCTTTGCATTTCAGTTACTGTTCTCCTGTAACCCCAGCTTCAATGGAGTTGATGCCCAAAACAGCTGAGGAAGAACTGGGCTGAGAGCCCCAGCTGACAGTGCCTGTCTGAACTGATGTGCTGAGAGAGACTCGTCCAGCAAGAGATGGAGTAGATACAGAGCACAGGGACCCAGTTAGCTCTACAATGTCTTAGTAGTGCAGTTGTAAGAAAACTGCAAAAAAATTGTATACCATTGTTTTCATATCCTTATGTTGTGTCCAAAACTGTGTTGGTTCATAGTCTGATACTTCAAGAAATAGATGATGAAACAATAAATCTTTTCCTGTAATCTACTCTGTTGCTGGTGGTTTTGTTTTGTTTTGTTTTCGTGGTGAAATCCTAAAATGATTTTATAGTTCCTCTCACAAAGGAAGCAGTAGTAACTGTTCTAACATCGGGTTAACAGTTTTTTATACTAAGCAAGCTCTAGATTCTTAGCCACAGAGAGCAGAAGGCAGGATAATGC